CCATAGGAGCTTCAAACGCTGGAGAAGTGATTTAGCCTTTCTTGAACGTAGATACGGTATTCTTGTTCCAGGCGTCAGGTTACCGGTGGTTCAGCGGATCGTATCTGGAAATCACAAGCTCTCAGGGATCCAGGCGAGATTTGTCTTGCATAGGCCAGAGCTGTCTCTTGAGCTCTTTCGAGCTTTGGAGCTCTCAAAGAAGTTGTCGGCAGTCAGTTTGCCCCTGTTGGTTTCGGTATGAACATTCCTTGTTTGGAAGCCTCGGGCCGAATTTATGCAAGTTTTGTTTCCTTGGTTTCGGTCCAATACGCGTATTGGTACCAGGGCGCGAAGAGTGCGCGTTAATGTTCTGGAGTCATTGCTCCATGAGTTGCTCATGTGTTCGGTGCACGTGAGTTTTTGACTCACCCCGTCGGGGTTTTGTTTTTGACCTGCAGTTCGTTTACTGTCTCGCCAATGGCTGGGCAGTTGACATTTGGGACTCGGACTCAGTCTCAATGCGACGGAAATAAAAAAATAAAATAAAAATAAATAAAAGCAGGAGCTGCACTGTTTGTCAGCCGGCCTGATTCTTGCCCAGGGAAATCAGTTGTTGCCCTGCCCAGCATGCCGTGGCTCATCTGGGAGCAAAAAGGGCAAACCCACTCGTCCCTCAGAGCGCACATGGAAAGTCTTGACGTGCTCATTTGTGAAGAAGCTCAACAAGATGTAGACCTCAAGTCCGCCTTCGTCCCAGCAGTTCCAAGACAGCCATTCTTTCGAATCCTGCTTCGTGACCCACGGCAAAGCCCAGGTGGAGTGGCTGACAACCTACGGGAACACAGAACCCTGGGTATGGCTTCTTGAAAGTCTTCTCTCCATTGGGCTTTTGGCGTTTGGCGGCAAGAATCGGAGCCACTTGTGTTGTCTAGTTGCTCACACCCGGGCATATGCACCCTGCCATGTTTGGCTTTTCCCTTTTTTACGAACGCTGGCTCTGTAAAGCAGGGATCACTTGAGATTGAGAAAGGCTTCTTGCTCAATGATCCTAAAATTTCGGCGAAGGCTGAGTTGCTGCAGCTGTGAGCAGCATGCAAAAGTTGAGCCCAAAATTTCAATGACGCCCGTCTGGGACAAATCAACAGTTTGCAGCTGCTGGCAGCTCACACATGCGGCCGATCCTGTCCTGTCAAAAATCTGGCGGCAGGAAGAGTGCGACAATGCCTGCTTCCAGAAAGCAGCAGTCCCGGCAAACTTGGGTTCGGAATGCAGGACTACACCCTGACTCACCCAAGTTGTGATGTAGGGCCGTACATCCTTGAAACACTCGAGGCCGCAATTGTGCTAAGGATTGCACCGAAGTCCTCCCCCGCAGGAACTCCTAGAAGGGTGTTCCATCCACAACATCCCGCTTGCTGTCCACGTCCCCATGAATCAGAGGGACGTAGTCCCAAGGGGCGTTCGCAGGAGTGTCACGGCTGCGTCATGTCAGCATTGAGTCAGGTATCAGACTTATCGGCCCAGAAGCATGGCAATCATGCCGACAGCTCCGAATCGTCAAACTGCCGGCAACAGTCGTTGGCATTTCTGACAACGCATTTAGAACTTGTAAACTGCTCAACAGTGTCACTGCCCCTGGTTGCCGGGAGTTTGGCTGCAAAGCCTTTGCTGAGCGCTGTTCTTTGCAGTGGGTATATACCGCTGAAGGGGTTGCCAACCAGTTCAGCAGCGCCAGCCAGCACCCCCCCTGAAAGGGAGCCGGTTATGGACTGCCGCTTGGTACTAACTGTCGGGCGCGACAACACATGTCTCTCTCAGCATTGCGAAGTTCGACCGATTTGAGGACCTTGAGGATCATGTTATGGATTATCTGGTCTCAGTGACTGACCTCAAAGTGTTCGGGTGTTCAATTGAGGGTTTAGGGCGCAATAGCTTAAAACCATGGTTTTGAAGCCGGTCACGGATTTAGCCCTGGCTAAGCAAAGTTTGATATGAAACGGACCATTTTGCGGTAAATCAAGGGGGGAGCCCCTTTTGCGCCTTAGTAAAGGTTTGAGGGTTTAGTGTGTGCACTACTGCGAGGCAGGCTCCATGGATGCATGTTGTGAAGGATGGGGCTTTGAAAAGATGTTGTTGAGGTTTTGAGCTCGCGTCCTTGATGTTTGTTGCAAGCTACGCCAGGCTTCCGCCCGGGTCCCGGTTCCATCTTAGCGTCAACGTTCAAATTTTCCCTTGCAACGCACTATATAGGGCTTTTGCGGTTATAATCTGGGTTGGGTCGGACCGTCTATTACAGTGCGCGATACCACCTCGGTACCACTTCATTACGGCTCGGGCCCTTTAATACAATAAGCGGCGCCGCCTCGGTACCGCTCGGGCCCTCTATTACAATGTGCGGCGCTGCCTCGGTACCGCTCGGGCCCTTCATTACAATGCACGGTGCCGCCTCGGTGCCGCAGGCCCTCTATTACAATGCGCGGTGCCGCCTCGGTACCGCTTCGGTACCGCTCGGGCCCTCTATTACAATGCGCGGTACCGACACCCCATTTGCGTTTTACAAAGTTTTAATTGGATCGAAGTGAGGAACTTCCAAGAAAACACAAAGACCAACGGAAAACCACGAAACGCAACCTTAACATTGTAGTCCCGGCGCTTCTTCAAACGGGGCGCTCCACACTTGCGCCAAGGCATTCCAAGTGTACGGTTGGTCGGTTGTTTGAGTCATTCGGTTGCGTGAAGGGGACAAGTTTTCGCTGCCCGCTCATCGATTGTTGTGCCTTTAGTGAGCCCCCCAGCCTTTGCAAGTGAAATGATGCACGACGGCTGGTGAGGTGTCCCATCTTGCGAACTCTGAAATGGATGAAGCGAAGTTGAAAAGAAGAAGAATCAAGATGCTGATTATGCAGTTGAAAGAGACGAGAACCCAGATGGCCCAGAACACAGAATCATGGAACTCTACTGCTCAGCCTTTTTGGAATGGGACTTCTGGGAGCTTCTTCACGGCATGTTTGCCGCAAATGTTGAAATCTTGTGCACATGGCGTTCCATCGGCTCCACAGTGGAATTGAAAGCTCGGTGATTTGTTCCCTTTGTCTGCAACTTTGTTGCCTTCCGAAGTGAACTCTTTGTGCAAGATCTTGACAGCGCCAATTGGCGTTGGGATCGTTGGCACAGATCTGATTGCAAAACACCTTCAGTTGAACAATGTTCCATCAGCTGCTTGAGCGTCACAAAAGTGACCACATGGGTGTTGTAGGATTACATTGAGGCATTTGCTCACTGTGGCTGTGTGGAAATGTGACCCCCACCATGCAGCCACCATCTGTTCAACAAGGATCGAAAGTGGATCAAGTCTACAGGCTAAAGAGCAACAAGAAGAGGCTCACAGTGAGGTCTGTCAGCGTGCATGGGAGTAATTGACCGCTTGAAGAAAGCGAAGATCCAGTTGCTTGGATTTGAGGAAACTGTGCTCCAATGGAGAATGCAATGTTGAAGACGAGAGAGAGAGAGAAAAAGAGAAAGAACTGATGGTGAAAACTGTGGCCGGTGACAAAACAAAAGCAGCATGACCCCTGCATGAACAGTCACACAGTGGCTGCAAATCAGGCCGCGTGAAACGGCCTGCATTTGTGAGAGTTACACAACGAACAATTGATGCTGTTGCACGTCTCTTTCCGTGTTTTTCCATGTTTTTTAAGTGCGCACTCCTCGTATGGTTCTCCGTTCGTTTCCTCAATGGAGGAGTGTTCATCCAAGACCACGTTCTTAGTTTTTTGCAATCCCACAACTGCCATTTTTGTTTGTGCGTCAGTCAACAGGAACACGAACGAAGCATCGTTTTGTTTTTTTTCCATGTTTCGGGCAATGGTGAACCTTCTTACGTTTTATCCTTTCTTGGACATATTGATCTTTATCAAACCATATGTTTGATTTTCCTTCAACAAACCAATACTCCTTTTTGAACTCACATTGTTTCATTCTTGTCAGAGCGCTGGCTCAGACTATGAGGGGGTGTGGACCAGCGGTGAAATGCAGGGCAACATTCAGCGGATAATCGTTACGAAAACCCGTGGCATGGGAGAGGACAGAACCTATTTTTGTGAGTGAAAGTTCCACAAGCTGCACAAAATAGATTATGTCGTTTTGCGCAATCAGTGGATTTGAATCAGTTGAGTTTTGCAAACGAAAACATAATCACATTCAACAGACAATAGTGCTTATGTTGTGCGCGCCATGTGGGCAGTCAACCGTTTCCTTGCGGAGGATTTGTGAAAACGGTGCCCAAAGTGTGCACCCCCAGCGCTCACAGCTTGTTTCAGATTGTCTGTGGCACCACCGTGCAGGACACTAGACATGGTGGCAAAAAAGCTTGCTGCACTTTGAAGAACCCAATTTACATTTGTGGGAATTGAGCCCTTGTTGACATGATGATGTATAGGACAGCTTTGCATTGCTGCCTTGGTCTGTCGTGTCACACAGCGTGCAACGCCTGAGCGATTGGTGGAGAATTTGCAACAGCAAATTTCAAGGCGAACACTCATTCAAATGGTTGGGACTTTCCATGAACAGTTTTTCAATCAATGCACATGTTCCATGTTTCACAAATAAGTGTGTGGAGACTTCCGTGCTTGGCAGGCTGGAAGAGGAGAATCGCCGCCTGCGATCGGATGCAGCTGGGGCTGAAACCTTTGAGGAGCAACAAAGAGAGGCCGTTCTCATGCAGATTTTATACATGTTCTTTAGGACAGATTGCAACGAATACCTTTCCAAATTTGTTTCGGATTTCTTGCAGGCACAAAGAGGCCTCCCAGAGACAGGAACTTGGATCAAGTTTGCCTGCATCATGATTTCTGGTACCCTGCTGGCTTTGTCAGGACCTTTTGTTTTTCCAAAGGCGTGGCCCTGCATGCGGCAATCCCTTCAAACAGCAATGTAGAAATATTTTTGATCAGTTGCCAACTGGGTGTTTGAGACGGAACAAAAGGAAGGAATTGTAAACTTGCATCCTGCTTGCAGCCACCATGCCATGCTTGATCCGTTGGCCAATTGCTAGGCTGATTTGCCCTTTCCCCTGGAAGCCCTTCGGCTAATTCCTCCCCAGCAAGGACACGTGTACCGAGAGGCTTGAGACAATGTGAATACAGAACTTGAAAAGTGCAAGCAGCATGGACATTAGGTTGGAGGCTATTGCATTAGATTGGAGGCCATCGCTAGTAGGTTGGAGGCCATCGCTATTAGGTTGGAGGCCATCGCTATTAGGTTGGAGGCCATTGCAGTGATGTCCTTCAAAGACCATGGTGCCATAAGATCAAAACTGTGCAGGCCGAGGGCGATTGGATATCGCTATTCAGGACACGGCAGTGATTGCAGCATTGTGTAAATTGGTCTAATTCAAGATTGCCAAGTAGTATCAGGGGTACCTATGACAAGCTTGTGTGTTGCAGGAATGCTGCACCATACATAGCTGCTTTCAGGTTCCGCTTTGTCAGGGGATGTCACACATCCATGATGCTTCAATTCTTCAGCACCAGAGGATTCGGATAGTGCTGTTCAAGATTGACAGAACAGACAATTGCAAGGAATGCAAATGTCTGTCTAAGCAATGACAAGAGGGATGGTGTGCAATATCGTTCTGTATGGGCGGGCAGCTGTATTTTGGAAAAGTCTGCAGTGTGAGCTTTTGACAAACTAGCCGAGACCTTTGCATTTTAGTCAGCAATTCTTTTTTGTTAACTCTTGGACTTCAGGGGCGGAACCGTCGTAGTTCACTTGCCATCTTTCATCTTGGAAGATGACATGCGCGAGACCTTCCGCGGGCTCATGGAGGTTGGCCGAGTCGTTTGACTTGCTTCTTCTGGTGCCTCAAGAGGTACAGGGACCGCTCAGGATGCGGTTGACCTGATCGAATTCGATCGCAGGATGTGGCCTTTTGCTCCCTGCTGGGATTGCAGATGGTCCTTGTCACATCCATTGAGCTAAGACCTTGTCAAGCTGAGCTCCCATTGACTGGTCCTATCATTTGTCGAATTCCAAGGTGCAGGCTTTGGCGAAGACTTTCGGGTGAGGCATCCTGGGCCAAAATGTGTCGAACCAAAGACTTGGCACTTGTTAACTGTTAAGCTATGTCAAGCTTTTATTCTGCTTGGGGGGTGGGTGAGCGAGCACTTTTCACGGAAGCTTCCGAAGAGCACGAGCAACCTTGTCTGAAACCTGCTCTTCCGCAGGCGCTGCCAGCCAACGCGGTCTCCGGCACCAAGGTGGAGAGAGCTCTTTGTCATTGAGGTGTTTTTTGTATGTTTTTCTCCTTCGACCACATCTCAAAGACATGTATTCCTGCATTTGAGCGTCCACCGTTGATTGTTGACTCTTGACTCTTCCTGCAGCTTGGGCTCCCAGCACACAGTGGCCAAATTAAATGGAGCATTTTCTCACTCAGAACGACAGATTTTTTTTGAGTCCTGGTTGGTGGTGACGTTTCCTTCTTAGTCTTAGTTGATGTGATGCCTCATCCTCGTCACCACAAAGAAGAGGCCACCTGATTTGGTCGTTTTTCTTTGCAGCTTGGCAGTTCTTTTACTAGCCAGTTAGGTGTGCATCGGGTCTTTAACCTCACTGGCTGGGAGCCATGTCTGGCTCAAGGCTGGCATGCAGCTAGCCAGCGGAGTTCTTGTTTATTGCATACATCACTTCTTGATAGATTGAATTGCATGGTGTGCGCCTCAGAAAACTGGGCACAACCGCCTGCTTTTGGTGCTTTGGTTCTGCTCAGAGTGTTGCTTTTGGTGCTTCATGAGGCACTCGATCGTGTCGTGTTATGGCTCGTGGCTGCCAAGCTACAGCTAGTCCTTGGAGGGATTGGCATATCGCCTAGCTCCATTTCAGAATCTTGGCCAGAAAGGGCATTGATGGTCTTTGTAGAGTGGTGTTTTACTGTAATGTTTTCTTCCAAGTATACACAAGATATCAATTGATCATTGTTGGATGGAAAGATGAACAACACACAAGATTTACAGGGGAAGGAGGAGTTTCGTGCAAACGGCCTTCCGGTGGCAGCGCGAGACATTTGTTTTTCTTCGAGGCTGGCAAGGCCACTCAGATTACTTTCACAGGCAAGGACTGAGAATGACACATCCTCTGTGATGATCACTGTGTTAGTGAACTACACCCCTGCCTCTAGAAACATTGACTTGCCAGGTGCACGAGAGGGTGACAAGATGTACTTCACCAAAGATGAGTGTTCGTCAGTGACTGCCCCTTGGATCACCATTGGATTGCTGTTGCTGTTGCTGTTGCTGTTGCTGTTGCTGCTGCTGCTGCTGCTGGTGTTGTTGTTGTTGTTGTTGCTGTTGCTGTTGCTGTTGCTGTTGCTGTTGGTGTTGGTGTTGGTGTTGAGGTTGTTGTTGTTGTTGTTGTTGTTGTTGTTGTTG